ACACTATTGATATATACATATATAGACATACCTACACTCATATGACTTTTTGACAGCTTTATTGAGATATAATTCACATACATACAACTCACCCATTTAAAGTATATGGCTCTAGGCCTAGTATGGGGGCTCATGCCTGTAATCCCAGCACTTTAGGAGGCCGAGGCAGGAGGATCACTTGAGCCCAGGAGTACTAGGCTACAGTGAGCTCTGACTGCACCACTGCACTCCAGCCTGGGTATCAGAGCAAGACCCTGTCTATTAAAAAAATGAAACATAAAATACATGATAAATAAAGTATACAGCTCAATGGCTTTTATTGTATTCACATAGTACACCTGTTGCCATAATCTGTTTTGAAATGTTTGTATTGCCTCCAAAATAAATCCTTTTTTTCTTTGTTTAGAGGCAGGGTCTTGCACTGTTACCCAGGCTGGAGTGCAGTGTCACCTATTATAGCTCACTGCAGCCTTGAACTCCTGGGCTCAAGTGATCCCTTCACCTCCTGAGTAGCTGAGACTACAGGTGCACACCACTGCATCCAGTTAATTTTTTTTTATTTTTTGTAGAATGAGGTTTCACCATCTTGCCCAGCTGATCTGTAACTCCTGAGCTCAAGCAATCCTCTGGCTTCTGCCTCCCAAAATGCTAGGATTACAGGCATCAGCCACCAAGCCTGGCCTCCAAAAGAAATCTTGATCGCCTCAATCCCTCATCTCAACTCATCCTCTCCCTATCCCCAGGCCACCACAAATAAACTTTCTGTGTCTATAGATTTGCCTATTGTGGACATTTCTGTAAAAGAAATCATACAGTATTTAGTCAACTGTCAACACTATCTAATTCCAGAACTTTTTACCCCAAAAGAAACCCTATACCTGTAGGCAGTCACCCCCAATTCCCTTCCTCCCATTTCCTGGCAACCACAAATCTACTTTTTGGCTCTGTGGATTTGCATATTCTGGACATTTATGTAAATGAACTCAGATGTAGTCTTTTGTAACTGGCTTCTTTCACTTCTTTCACTTCTAGATTCATCCATGCTATAGCATGTATCAGTATTTTGTTCATTCAATTTATTGCCAAATATTTCATTGTATGGATATACTGTGTTTTATTTATCCCATGAGACGTTTGAAAATAAAGAAGAAATAAAAGGAAGGTGATTTGTTATAAAACAAGATGAATTTCATTTTATTTTTTTGTTTGTTGTTGTTTTTGAGACAGGGTCTGCTCGGTTGCCCAGAATGGAGTACAGTGACACAGTCACAGCTCACTGCAGCCTCAACCTTCTGGGCTCAGGTGATCCTGTCACCTCATCCTCTCAAGTAGCTGGGACCACAGGCAGATGCCACCACACCTGGCTAATTTTTGTATTTTTGCTAGAGACAGGGTTTGTTATGAGGCCCAGGCTGGTCTTGCACTCCTGGGCTCAAGTGATTCACCATGCCTCAGAGTCCCACAGTGCTGAATTAGGTGTGAGTCACTGTGCCTGGCCAAGGTGAATTTTTTTTTTTTTTTTTTTTTTCCGAGACGGAGTTTCGCTCTTGTTACCCAGGCTGGAGTGCAATGGCGCGATCTCGGCTCACCGCAACCTCCGCCTCCTGGGTTCAGGCAATTCTCCTGCCTCAGCCTCCTGAGTAGATGGGATTACAGGCACGCACCACCATGCCCAGCTAATTTTTTGTAGTTTCAGTAGAGACGGGGTTTCACCATGTTGACCAGGATGGTCTCGATCTCTTGACCTCGTGATCCACCCGCCTCGGCCTCCCAAAGTGCTGGGATTACAGGCTTGAGCCACCGCGCCCGGCTGTGAATTTTAATATATAAATAAATACTTGATCGGGACCGCAATAGAAGAAATAATGAATTAGGCAGCTACTTACACCTAAGCATAGCTAAGTGAGGCAACTACAAATGTAAAGTGATCCAGAGTATAACACTGGAGACTAAGGTTTCTAAAATAATGAAAACTCTTAGTAAAGTGCAGAGCAAAACAAAGCACAGTCCACTCTTGATTTACTGGTAGTTGCGTTCCTGGAAATTTCAGTAGCTCTTAAAACCGTGCAAACAATACTTGGTACTTGGTACTTACATGTATCATGGGGTTGGGCTCCCAGCTCAGAGGTTTTTTGTTTGTTTGGTTGGTTTTTGGTTTTTTGAAATAGTGTCTCATTGTGTCAGTTGGGTTCTGGGCTCAGAGATTTTTTTTTTTCTTTTTTTTTTTTTGAGACAGGGTCTCATTGTGTTGCCCAAATTGAAGTGCAGTGGTACAATCACAGCTCACTACAGCCTCCACCTCCCAGGCTCAAGTGATCCTCCCACCTCAGCCTCCTGAGCAGCTGGGACTACAGGCATGTGCCACCACACCAGCTAATGCTTTTTTTTTTTTTTTCGTAGACATGGGGTCGTGCCATGCTGCCCAGGCTGCTCTCCAACTCTTGGGCTCATGTGATCCTCCCACCTTGGCCTCCCAAGGTGCTGGGATTATAGGCGTGAGCCACCATGCCCAGACGAGGGCTCAGAGATTTAAAAACAGGCTCTTCATCAGCATGACTGTCCAGCAGGACATTCATATAGCAGCTGGGCACAGTGGCTCACGCCTGTAATCCCAACATTTTGGGAGGCCGAGGTGGCTGGATGACTTGAGGCCAGAAGTTCAAGGCAAGCTTGGCCAACAGGGTGAAACCTCTACTAAAAAGACAAAAAAGTTAGCCAGCCGTGGTGGTGGGCACCTGTAATCCCAGCTACTAGGGAGGATAAGTTGGGAGAATTACTTGAACCCAGGAGGTAGAGATTGCAGTGAGCTGAGATCGAGCTACTGCCCTCCAGCCTGGCTCAGATCTGTAATCCCAACAAACAAACAAAAGTTATCAAGTACGGCCCGGGACCACTCTTCTTTGTGAGGGACTGACTCCCAACTGTGGGGTACAGACACCTGTGGTCCTGCCCACTGATATTCCCCATCTGCCCCCCAGCCCTTCAACAACCAAAAACCACCACCCCCATGAATTTCTTAAACACCCCCAGGGTTTAAGGGGACACAGGAATGATTTTTGAGAGGGAAGAATTTATGTGTAGAAATGCTCTTGAAGGTGCAAAAGGAGATGGCTGGTTTTGAAATGTCCCCACTGGAATTAAGATTGATCTGGCTTGCGGATGCTTGGGACAGACGGGTGGTTGAAGGATGGGCTGCTCTCAACTGAGAAGAGGGAAATCACCATATTCAAATGACCAACTTCTTCATCCTGGAGAGTTCTCCCTGGAGTTAGAAGGAGACTGAAAATCTACTTGGATTCCTGATCCAGTGTGTGACATCCAAGACGTCCACCTATGTCTGCCTTCTCAGACACAAGCCTCATGTTATCTTCATTTTACAGATTAGTAAATTTCATTCTACAGATTAGATCTAGACAACTAGATTAGTTTGCTAGGGTTGCCGTAACAAAGCGCCAGAGACTGGGTGGTCTAAACAACACGTATTTATAATCTCATGATTCTGGAGGCCAGAAGTCTAAGACCAAGGTGTTAGCAGGATTGGTTTCTTCCGAGACCTCTCTCCTTGGTTTCTAAATGGTTTCTTCCGAGGTTTCTCCCCTTGGCCTTCTTCTCCGTGTGTTTTCACATAGTGTTCTCTCTGTGTGCCTCTGTGTCCTAATCTCCTCTGCTTATATGGACACCTGTCAGTAAATTAGGGCCTACCCTAATGACCCCATGTTACCTTAATTACCTCTTTAAAAATCCTATCTATCTCCAAATACAGTCACGTTCTAAAGTACTGAGAGTTAGGGCTTCCACATGTGAATTTGGAGGGGATACAATTTCAGCCCATAACAGAGAGTTAAACGAGAAGACCATGTTTAGGGGAGCACAAGGGATCTGGAACCCAAGAGCCTAGATTTTAGCTCCGTCACTAACTGGGGAAGCTTGGGGCAAGTCCTTTCACCTCTGAGGCCTCAAGAGGCTCATCTATAAATTAATGATATTTAACAAAGGCTTTTCCGGGGCTGGAAGTCAGAGTACTTAATACTAGAAGGCATGGGTGGGCCATGGTTCAAGCTTGGAGTGGGATCCTGGGGGGCCCCACTGGATGGGCCATTAGGCCTTTAGATGCTGGACTCAGGGGAGGTGCTAAGAGTCCCGGGTACATGGGACAGGATGGTTGAGGGGCTACTGAGGGGACCTCGAATACTGGCTATTCATTTACCAACCATTGTGGATATATGTCAAATTTTTAAAAACATTTAATGTTAGAGGCAAGATCGAACTATGTTGCCCAGCCTGGTCTCAAACTGCTGGGCTCAAGCAATCCTCCCATCTCAGCCTGTCAAATTGCTGGGATTATAGGCATAAGCCATAGCATCTGACCTGAAATATTTTAGTATTTTAAACAACCAGTTGGACCATACTGGTGCCTATCAAAGGGCCATGCTGAGCCTGATTTTGGATGCTGGAGAGGAGGGGTGGGAAATGACCTCTCAGTCTGTAGCCACCGTAAAGACCCTCCCTTGCCCAGCTTGGTGGCTCAGATCTGTAATCCCAACACTTTAGGAGGCTAAGGCAGGAGAACTTGAGGCCAGGAGTTCAAGACCAGACTAGGCAACATAGCCAGGCCCTGTTTCTACTTAAAATATATATTTTTATTTTATTTTATTTTATTTTGAGGCAGAGTCTCCTTCTGTCACCCAGGCTGGAATACAATGGCGCGTTCTCCGCTCACTGGATCCTCTGCTTCCTGGGTTCAAGTGATTCTCCTGCCTCAGCCTCCTGAGTAGCTGGGATTACAGGCATGTGCCAACATACCGGGCTGGCTAATTTTTGGATGTTTAGTAGAGGAGTTTCACCATGTTGGCCGTCTAGTCTGGAACTCCTGACCTCAAGTAATCTCCTCGCCTCAGCCTCCCAAAGTGCTGGGATTACAGGCGAGAGCCACCTTGCCCGGCCTGATTTACTTTTTTAAAAAATAAAATTAAAGACCCTCCTTTTTGCTCCCCACGCAGGCCAAGCTGATCGTCCCTAACAGCACGGCGGGCCTGATCATCGGCAAGGGGGGCGCCACGGTGAAAGCCGTGATGGAACAGTCAGGGGCGTGGGTGCAGTTGTCCCAGAAGCCAGAGGGCATCAACCTGCAGGAGCGCGTGGTGACAGTCAGCGGCGAGCCCGAGCAGGTGCACAAGGCCGTGAGCGCCATCGTGCAGAAGGTACAAGAAGACCCCCAGAGCAGCAGCTGCCTCAACATCAGCTACGCCAACGTGGCTGGCCCGGTGGCCAACTCCAATCCCACCGGCTCTCCGTATGCCAGCCCCGCGGATGTGCTGCCCGCCGCAGCCGCAGCCTCGGCCGCCGCCGCCTCCGGCCTGCTGGGCCCCGCCGGGCTGGCGGGCGTGGGGGCCTTTCCCGCCGCGCTGCCCGCCTTCTCGGGCACCGACCTGCTGGCCATCAGCACGGCGCTTAACACGCTGGCCAGTTACGGCTACAACACCAACTCCCTGGGCCTGGGCCTCAACTCTGCCGCGGCCTCCGGCGTCCTGGCCGCTGTGGCCGCTGGGGCCAACCCCGCGGCCGCCGCCGCCGCCAACCTCCTGGCATCCTACGCGGGCGAGGCCGGGGCCGGGCCGGCCGGAGGAGCCGCCCCGCCGCCGCCCCCACCTCCCGGAGCCCTGGGATCCTTTGCGTTGGCCGCGGCCGCCAATGGCTACCTCGGGGCCGGGGCGGGCGGAGGGGCGGGCGGAGGGGGCGGCCCGCTGGTGGCCGCTGCCGCCGCGGCAGGGGCGGCCGGGGGCTTCCTGACGGCGGAGAAGCTGGCGGCTGAGAGTGCCAAGGAGCTGGTGGAGATTGCGGTGCCTGAGAACCTGGTGGGAGCCATCCTGGGGAAGGGGGGCAAGACGTTGGTGGAGTACCAGGAGCTGACGGGCGCCCGCATCCAGATCTCCAAGAAGGGCGAGTTCCTGCCAGGCACGCGGAACCGGCGGGTCACCATCACGGGCAGCCCCGCGGCCACGCAAGCCGCTCAATACCTCATCAGTCAGCGGGTCACCTACGAGCAGGGAGTGAGGGCCTCAAACCCCCAGAAAGTGGGATGAGGCCTGTGGTGTGTGCTCCCACCCTTCTCCCTCCTCCCACCTCCCCCTTCTCCTCCCTCTCCTCCTTCCCCCCAACTCCTGACCTCAGCTTGGTGTAGTCCTGCTCCTTTTGGGATGGGGCTGGGGTAGGCCCGACTGCACCCTCCCCTTCTGGTAGTCATAGGCAGGATTGAGTGACGGTTGGGAAGGGGGCTCAGAAGCCCCCTCCCCAGCCCGGAACTGACCCCTCCTTCCTCCCTCCCTGTGCTTGGCTGGGCCTGACCCTTCCCGTCCCAGGGCCCAGGTCTGTGTGATATCTGTATATATTGCATTTTGTTGATTTTAATAGAAAACAAAGCGTTATTTTCTCTTTCTTTCCCTCCTTTTTTTTTCTTTTTTTGATAAGGATTTTTCCCCCCTTATAAGTTTTTGCTTTCACATGGGAGGAGGGGAGGGAGCCTCCGGGTCATCCAGAATGAGGGGCCTCCCCAAAACACAACACCCCACCTCTCTGCTTTCAGTTCTAGATCTGAGGGAAGCCATGGGAGTAGAGGTAGCAGAGGCGTCTGAGGTGAAATGGGGCATCTGGAACAGGGACCCCAGAGTTCCCAGATCTTCTCAGCTACTCTCCTCCCACTGGAGTTGTCCCTCCTAGGTGGGAATGTTCACTCTTTTGTTGTCAGGTTGTATGGGGGGCAGGGACGGTGCTGCTGGGAAGGATGCCAGCTCTGGGATTGGGCCTGTCCTGTGGGCAAGACTCATGAGAGGCTGGATGAACTTGTTGTGGCATCTCTGATGGCTTTTCCTAGAGTAATGGCAATGAGGGTCTCTGTTGTGATGTCACTGAGTACTTTCTGGGGTGCTTCTGGGTGCTCCTTATGATGTCACAGGAAGCAGTTCCTCAGAGATTACTTCCTGTGAGCATAAGAGGGCAGGTACTTCCTGTGATGTCTCAATGAGCTCTTCCTTGAAGGTCACTTCGGTGATATCATGGGAAGATGTACTTTGGGTGGTGCCTAGAGGTTACTTCCTATGATGTCATTAGGCTGAAGCATGTACTTCCTGTATTGGACAGTGACCAGTCTCTGACCTGCCTTCTCCCTCCACACCCCTCTTTGGTGGGTGTTGGCCTGGGGGGGGGTCTTCCTTGGAAGAGAATAAAGCATGGGACTTGGATCCAATCTGGAGGACTCTAAGGAAAAAAACCCAATATTGTCAGGGTCATCTCCATTCAAACATGCCAAGTCTGTGAACTCACCCTGGAGGGAGGGATGGGAGATGGACCTAGTGCAAACTACTGTTAAAGCGCCCCCTTCCCACCCCCGCCTTTTGTGTGCATGCCTGTGTCTGCGTGGCTTTGTTTCATTGAATCGGGTGAGCCAAATGTATGGTGGCTCTGTCAGGCCAGTGTGGCCCGGTATAGAGTTCAGTGAGCCGTGGTAGGGTCCCTTGGGCCGGAATGCTTTGTGTGGTCTGATACATTAGGTTGATTTAGTAGCTTCCAGCAAGCTGGCATACTTTGGTGATGTCTGATGGATCAGAAGGTTTTGGTGTGCTCACCAGGGGCTCTGGAGAAGTAGAATGTTCTGATGGAGTCTGACAAGCCAGAAGGCCTTGAGAGTTCGTTTGAGAGTGGCTCCCTGAGTGCTGTGGCTGTGGTCAGCTCTAAGGACCTATTGGCAGACTGAGATTTCAGGGCCTGACAACCCTGTAGACTAGGATAGCTGAGACCTCCCTCTACCCCACCCATCTCCCCCTCCTCCTGGGAGACCACCTCCACTTTCTCCAACCCAAAGCAGGGCACCCGGTGCCCTGGTTCCATCATCAGCATCTCTGGGGGAGGGGCACCCCATGCCCACCCTCTCCCCCATTTGTCCCCCTCCTAGGTCTTCCAGACCCTTCTCTTCTCCATGGCTTTGGGGGAAATCCAGCCTCCTCGTCTCTCTCCTAAAAAAGGAGGGAAGGAAAGCCACAGAGACAATTCCTGCCCCTAAAGCCTAGGAGATCCCTCCCCCTTGCTAGAGAGCCACCCCCAAATCAAAATGTGAAAATCCCTAGAAAGCAATAGCCTTTAAGGTACCTTGCACTGAATTTCCCACCCCGGCCCTTCCACCTGATGGGGGCTGTAGCTTGGGCACTGGGGTGATTTTTTCCATGCCCTGTCATCTCTAGGGTGGGGGGCAGGCCCCACTTCCTCCTCCCTTATCCCCCACTTCCCATCATTGTCGCCCCACCCCTAATCTCCAGACTGAACCCAGATGGAGATCTGAGTGCCAAAACAATTCTTGATGTAACTTTGTACATATCTTCTACTACCGTTGGGAGCTCTTGGGGTTAGAGGTGGGGGTGGCTCTATGGGCCATTGCTCCCCTCCACCTCTCAAAAGACCTTACAGTATTTCACAGTATCTCTACCCGCACGCGAATATTACAGCATCTAGCTAGAGTATCCCCCTATAGCCCCCCAGGCCCCTATGAGGAGGGAAAGGAGCCAGGGAGAGGTGAAATAAGGTCTGGGAGTGGGGAGGTGGGATCTGAATGAGCTCATTTGCATATCATTTGCATCCTCTGCTTGGCAGCCGCTTTCTACAAACCCATTCGCTGGAGTCCGGGTCCCAATCAGCCGGGTCCAGGACTCCTCTCACACAGACACGTATCTGGAGGCTGGGCCTCCTGAAAAGTGTTTGCTTGGGGTGTCTGTGTAACAACCCCTCCCTGTTCATATTTCTTGGGGACCCCCTACCCAGCCAGCCAGGGCTATCTGAAAGGTATAGTTTGCTAGCTCAGTGAGCTAGTTGCGCTCACCATGTTGGTGAGTGGAGAGCCACACACCTTTCCCTATTTTATCTTCACTCCACCATCTTTGCCATCCCTTGAAAGTCCCTTCTGCAATCTGACCTCAATCTTTTGTGCTGCAGTTTGTCCAGAGGGGGCACAGATGTGGGGCCAGGGATGGGGATCATTGACAAACCCATCACCTCTTTTTTTTTTTTCCTCTCTCCCTATTAGCCAATCAGATTTCAGAGTCCCTGAGTGGCCTCCTTGCACCCTGCTCTTCAGCACCCAGTAGGTGCTTAATAAGTGTTTGCTGCATTGAATTGTCTCCTGATTCCTTCTCATTTGCCCTTTAGCTTCCCATACCTTCCCCAAGTGTTTTCCTCCCTCTGTCTGGCTCCCTATGACTTTCTGAAAATCTTTTTTCTCTATGTGGTTCCCATTGTTTTCTGTCCTGTCTCTATCTTTGTCTCTGTCTGTCTTCCTCCTCTCCTCAACTGTCTCAACTCTCTCTCCCCAATTTCCCCATTTAAAAGAAAAAAAAAGTGCCAAACTTCCTTGGAACTGAGCCGCTCTGGGGGGAGAGGACCTTGGATAGAGGGGAGGAAATGGGACCACTTCTCTTTGAGGAGGTCCCTAAGAGGCATTGAAAAAGTGTGGACATGGAGCTAAATTGGGTCCCCTTCCACAGCCCTCCCACCCTGAGTTTTTCTTAGAATCTTTGTAAGAAAAAAAAAAAAGAAAAAAGCTCTCCTTTTCAGCTTACCCTTATCCTTTTGGATCCCCCCAAATTCCACCAGCCAAGGAGAATCCCACTTGCCAACTTCCTGGCAAATCTATGGAAACTGGGGAGGAGGAGACAAGCTCAACTCCTCCTCTGCCAGCCCAGGGGGCGGTGCCAACCGGATTCAAGAGAAAGACCTCAAAGCACCTATGAGAAGAGGGGGTTCAATGTGCCAAATTAACCTCCTTTATCCCCCATCTCAGGGGGCTCTGAGCCAACCTGCCCGGCCACCTTCTTCTGCCCTGTCCCAGCCATCCCTACATGGGCAAGGAGGCTTCACTGCAATAATTAGTAGGGGCGGTGATCAGAAGGCAATGATTTTTGCCATCTTTATCTGCCCTAACACCTGCACTGGACTTGTAGGTGGGAATTATGGGTATCCCAAGTGGATCTTGATACAAGCCCACTTATAGATGGCTGGGGACCTCTACTTGGAACAGCAGGGTACCGCTTACCTCCTAGTGATATTTCCTCTCCCCTCTGGACCACCAAACCCCTCAGTATCCCCTCATTCTGTTTCTCCTCCTTTCCCACATCCTCCTTCTTCCTTTGTTTTGTTTGGTGGCCAATTGTCTGGAAAATGAGAGGAGTCCCCCTAAGTGGATGATTGCTGTTTTAAGACCAGGATTAGAGGCTGTGATAAACTGTGCAGTGGCAAAAGTATCAACAAGAGTGGCAATGAGGATGGCAGTTGGGGCGTCCAGGCTGCTGACTGAGTGTACCCTGTCAGGACAGCCAGGCAGGCCTTTGCCTGGCACCTGCTCCCTTAGTCTGGAACCCGGGCTGGCTGTCGTGAAAGCCTGAACTGGATGTCACGATGAGGGGAATGGGATCGCGATACCCAAGTTGGGGCACAGGCGGGCCAGGGGCACTGGTCTATGGGGGTGACAACACCCAGCCTTGCTATCGTGATCCCTTTGCACTGCGGTCAGCTGTCTGCACGCCGTGGTTGGAGGGGCTTCTCTCCTGACGCTGCTGCTGGTGTGTATGGTCGGTTTTAGTGTCCCCTGCAAGTCGCATTGGAGATTGCTGGGTGGCAGGGAGGGAAATGGGAAAAGAATCTGTCGGGTTATGGTGGTGAAGGCTGCTGGTTTTTAATCCCTTCTCAGCCAGTCCAGGACACTCTTGTCTCCCAGAGATAACTGGGGGGGACTGCCTAACCCCCCCACCCCTTTCCCTATCCCACCTCTCCCCCCAAAACCACCAACCTCTCATCTTCTAAGTGACTCCATCACCACCGGCCACCGGGACCTGCGGCCTCATTGCTCCAGCCCGCCCCACTCGACCGTCAGACTCGCTCATCGAACTCTTTTTGATTAACCCTTTCTGTGTTCATCCCACGGAAAACTGTGTGTCCGGCAGCGGGGAAGGGGGAGGCTAGGGGCAGTTGCTGCCTTTCCTCCATCTCCTCCCACCGCCCATGCCTCCCCCCCTGCACCCCATCCCATGCCCCACTCCCATCCCTCACCCTTAGGGTCCGCCCCACCCTGGGGCTTGAGATCCTCTATAAGTATCTATGCTGTTTGGCTTTGTCCCTTTAAAAGGCGGGTCCAGAGGTGTGGCCTCCCTCAAATGGAGTGCTCACTCTGACCCCCTCCTTCCTGTGCCCCCTACATGCTCCCCATGCCTTCATTGTAAATAGTCACTTTTGTACTGGGTTTGAGCCAGGGGATGTGGGGAGTCATTTTTTTTTTCTTTACGTTGGCATCTCAGGCCACTGGAGGCACGGCCCACATCCCGGGTCAATTTGGGAGAATCTCAAGGTGTATCCTCTCACCTGTCCCCATCGATAAGGATTTCAAGCTATCAGTATTACTCTAGAGGGATGGGATGCATAGATTCCCCAGCAGGGAGGTGGGAGAGGTATGGAAAGGTGTAGTCTGACAGGATGCTTCCGTTTTCCCCTTCTATGAAACGGATTCATCCTCCAGTTTCCCTGAGGAGCCTCAATGAGATCATGGGGGAGTCAGAGGAGCTAGAACGTCTCTTCCCTCTTTCTCTGTTGGAAACAGGGTAGGAGAAGGAGAAGAAATCGAGGGCGGGGAAGGCTGTAGGGCCATCTTGGGAGAACCGATTACTAAATTCTTCTTAGGACCTTAAGCTAGCCTGCTCTCCAGATTTGTTCTCTCTCTCAGAACACGGGAAGGACTGGAGGACCTCTAAGGGTCCTTGGTTCTCCCCAGTCCTTAGATGAAAAGGCCCAGGCCCCAGGCTGGCGCCCTGCCTGCTGTTCCACTCCCTCATTCCATTTCGTGGAATGTGGCCATGCCTCCAGTGCCTCCATTCAACCCCCTCTAACTGATTCCTTCCATCCTCTGCGACCAGAGACGCCGCCCGCCTCCTCCCCACCACCTCCAGAAGCTCCTGGCTGGGGCCCACTGCCGTCTCCTCCCCGTCCCCCCATTGCCATGCCTGGGCCACGCCCACCCCACCCACTCACCCACCCCCAGTGTCCGTTGTGTGACCTAGTGCACCATGTATTAGCTTCCATGGCCCCCACCCCAGCCCCCACCACACCCCCTTTCCCCACCCCTTCCCCCTCGGCGACTTCACCTTTTTTTGCCGCGATAAACGCCATCTCAGCATCTGTGTCTAATGTTGTCTTTTTTGCTTGACATCACACACTCCTTCTTAACCCATCCCCTTCCCTCTCCCTCCTCCCTGCACCTCCACCCTCATCCTCAATTCTTTCCCCCTTTCCCCCAGGGCTTTGGGCATTTAGGGGAAGAGGGTGGGGGGACCCCTGAGGATGGTCCCAGATGGGGGAGGATGGGAGCGGGGACTGTTCTCTCTGGACTGGGTGAGCATCCGGAGCAACTGTGGTTGAGGGAAGCAGGTGCTCGAGTTTAGCTTCCAGGGGCCGGGCGTGGTGGCTCACGCCTGTAATCCCAGCACTTTGGGAGGCTGAGGCAGGCAGATCACCTGAGCTCAGGAGTTCGAGACCAGCCTGGCCAACATCATGAAACCCCATATCTACTAAAATACAAAAAATTAGCCAGGCGTGGTGTCATGTGCCTGTAGTCCCAGCTACTTGGGAGGCTGAGGCAGAAGAATCGCTTGAACCTGGGAGGTAGAGGTTGCAGTGAGCCGGGATTGCACCACTGCACTGCAGCCTGGGCAACAAAGTGAGACTGTCTTAAAAAAAAAAAAAAAAAAAAGCTTCCAGGGCCTCTGTGTCCAATCAGGAGAACCACTACACACATTCGAAGAGCCACGGTCTCACAGACAGGCTCCTGGACACACATCCCCACACACAGCCCTGCAAATACACAACACCAGGTAGAATCAGGATAGGCCAGGGTTGAGGCCTTTGAGTCAGGTGAGTCCTGCGTTTAGAGCCCAGTGCTGCTATGTTACCCTGAGTCCTTTGCTCCTCTGAGCCTTCATGTCCCCATCTGTAAAATGGGGATTTTTTTTTTTAAATTGTTATTTCTACATCACATGGTTTATGCTTGGATCAATACACTATTCACTTTTTTAAAAATGATTACTGAACACCTGTGATGCATAGGGCACTGTTCTAGGTGCTGGAGATAAAGCAATGAGCAAAACAGACCCAGGCATCTCTGGCTTTTTGGAGGACACAGTCTACTGGAATCGAGAAATTCTTCTTGGCACAAAACCTGGTGCATGGGACTAAAATTCATTCAGAGTTTGCAGACCATCAGCCAACAGGCAGGTGCGGTCCCCATAATTTCATCTGACCAGAACAGTGTTTTGTGTGGGTTTGTTGCCAGCATTCAAACATTGGGAGACTTCTGAAAACATGGGTTTCAAGACCCTCTTGAGAAATGCCATGTAACAGCACTGATTGCAATTGCTACCTGCCCTTAATGGGCTGGCCTGGGGCAGCCACTGCCACTCACCCAGAGCAGAGAGGCTTAGCCTCTTCCCAACCTGCACTGCTCGTTTGTGTCACATGCCTAGGCTCTGGACGTTTGCAGCCCTTGAGCAAATATTTAGAATTACTAGCCTGGCCAGGTGTGTTGGCTCACACCTGTAATCCCAGCACTTTGGGAGGCCAAGGCGGGTGGATTAGTTGAGGTCCGGAGTTTGAGACCAGCTTGGCCAACATTGTGAAATCATCTCTCTACTAAAAATACAAAAATTAGCCGGAAGTGGTGGTGTGTGCCTGTAATCCCAGCTACTCAGGAGGCTGAGGCAGGAGAATCACTGGAACCCAGGAGACAGAGGCTGCAGTGAGCCAAGATCGCACCGCTGCACTCCAGCCTGGGCAACACAGCAAGACTCCATCTCAAAAAAAAAAAAAAAAAAAAATTACCAGCCTGGCCAGGTGCAGTGGCTCACACCTGTAATCCAAGCATTTTGGGAAGCCGAGGCAGGAGAATCACTTGAGCCCAGGAGTTTGAGACTCTGTCTCTACAAAATATTTAAAAAATAGCCAAGTATGGTGCTCCATGCCTGTAGTCACAGCTATTCAGGAGGCTGAGGCAGGAGGATCACTTGAGCCTGAGAGATCAAGGCTACAGTGAGCTGTGATTGCACCACTGCACTCCAGGCTGGGCAGCAGAGCAAGATCCTGTCTCAAAAAAGAAGAAAAAGAGATAAGTAATTGCCTTAGATTTTGGAGGTGTCAAAGATGCAGCTGGGCAGATAATGACAAACCAGACCAAGGAGGCTGGGTGGGGTAAGGCCAGACGCTCGGATTCTGGTGTGACCCAAGACACTTGGCTTCCTCTCCCTGGCTCTCAATCTCCACATCTGGAAAATACCCTAGAAAGCTGCACTTACCTTCTGGACTATTCCAGAAGGATTCTACATGTGAATCACGCCTTCAGTACCTGACACACAGAAAATGTTCAGTACATGGTGGTCATCAGAGACCCCTCCAGCTGAAAAAATAATAACGTGACTCCAGAGAAGAACAAGCCCAAGAGAGGGGGATGGAAGGAGAAGGGGGACTCAGGCTAGGATAAAGTAAG